CAACTTCCTGAGGGCTCCATGTCCTTGTATATAAATTAAGGAAATTGGAAACAGTCCATCTCTGACATTCTATGGCTCCTTGATTTGAAGTCCCTTTATACAACCTCCAGTCCATGGTGAAATGCAGATTGGGAATTTACAATGATGACGGAGGCAAACTGAAGAGTCACCTCAATTGCCCTGATCAATCATCTCCATGTCTGATATGGTGATTGAGAAATCTACTTCCTGGAGCTCCAAATGCTATCCCTGGGCTGCGCTCCTCAACCCATTCAGCAGCATGGCTGCCAAGAGTCTCTTCCTGGAACCAGCTCTGCAGGGCTGAAGGACTAGATTCCAGAGGGAAGTCAAGCATTTTCGCAGCGGCCAGAGAGGAAACCTAATGTATATGAAAGTGCTTTGCAAATGGCAAAAAGCCTCAGATAAATATGTGCTCTCATCATCCCTAGAGCTCATGTCTTAGAGGCTTCTCCATCAGGTGACATCAGCAGTGCTAAGTGTACTAGCTATACTTGGATGTTTAATTCTAGGTGGCTTTTTTTTGGGTTGTTGTTAGTTTGTTTACAAAAGGGCATATATTAACCAGGCATGGGTTTCCGTTGCAAGTTTTCATGCTTTTTAAATAATATTTATTACAATGGATAAACTTATTTTTACTTGGTAATCATTTTTTGGAGGGAACTCAGATCACTGATTTTCAAACTGAAACACTGAAAAGGTTTGAAATCAGTGCCTTTGTTTAAAGCCTCCTGGTTATTAGCATCATGAGAAACTTTTATTTTTCTAATAAGTTGCTAACAACAAAATCCTTGGCAATGTCATTAAAAGAAATGAAATGACTGCCTAAAGTCAAGCTTTAGCTGCTTCTGCCTTTTTATTTTCAGAAAATGGAATGCAGTAAACCCCTCAAGCTCTGAATTATTCTCGAAAGCTTTGATGCTTGGACTCAGTGATGGCCATCAGAGATACAGTTAGGCTGTGTTGTTCTGTGGGTGAAGGGAGGGCAGAGGCCTCAGCCTCCAGAACTTTTGCCTAATCACTTCACCTCCTGGGAATTGCTGTTCCAAAGAGGCCATGCTTCCCTGCCACTAGATAGTTGGTCCTTCCTCCTTTAACAGGAATCAAACCAGATCTGGATGATCAAGATGACCCAGTGTTGGCCTGGATTGCAACAGTTAAATGGCTGAGGAGACTTTCCACCACTATCCCAATGGGCCCCACATAGGCTCTTTCTTCCATAAACCTGCAACCTCCTTAATGAATGAGATGTCTCTGGATCCACCACCAATGATAATGGGGTCTACTATGAACAGGCAAGCAAGTATCTGCCCATTTCCACCCCACAGTCTACTTTGCATTGCTATGAGGGATCCAATTTAAAGATGCACTTCAGGCCAAAAAGCCTTCACAATCTTCTGAGAGACTGCAGCTTAGAGGAGGACCATATCCCACACCCAGCTGAGCTTCCAGGTGTCACATTTGAGCCTCACTCAACAGCATCTCCTTAGGTCAACAGGCCATACTTTGAGACTTTACTTATCAGAGCATGACATTTTAGTCCTTTAATTTAAATTTCTCAGCAGGATAATGGCCCCAAGACAGCCTATTTCTTTTCTGGCAGCATTTAGGGTTTTTAAAATATATATATAATAGAATATCAGCAATACCAGGAACCCCGTTGATTATCTATAGTCCAATGGAGGCCCAGATTACTCACCAAGATCACACGGCTAGCCATATGAATCAAAACCATAACCAGGTCTCCTAAGTCTCAAATTACGCAGTCTTGAAATCTTAAGCCACTGCATCTTATACCATTTTATGTTATAAAATACTTGTCACTTTAATTATAAATTAAGGAAACTTTATATTTTGGAGAAAAAAGAAAATTCTATCCAATAGTCTGTAAAAGAATGATTTACTTTTTTTGAGGATTGATTATCTCTGTAATCAACTATCATCAAGAAGTGCTCATTAAGCTCCCAGTTTAAGGTCCAAGGTTAAGTAGACACTTTACTTGGAAGAGAAAATGGTCAGCTCTACTTGGAAAGCACATACAATTCTCTTTATTTAAAGCATGCCTTCCTGGAATGAATTATACTGGCTCTGTTGAGTGTAAGGTGCCAAAGTAATTCTCAGTTAAAGAATAAAACCAAAAACAAAGCCACAGGCTCTAGGATTGGAAAAGTTCTGGCTGTAGTTTTATTTTCTGTTGTCCTCATTTGTAATGTGTATTTTCTCCAGCATGGTATCATTTACATAGCATATGTAAAGTCCTACATGCAGCCCCCTTTCGGTCTCCCCAAATCTCCTTTCATGATAGAATCCTTTCTTCCCCATTCTGATCTGCTGGACTGTGTATGGGAAAATGTTTCACCTAGGTCAAAAGGAAACCATATTCTATCTCTGAAGTAGACAAAACTTTTGCTTACTTTTCTCATTCACCTCGAATACATCAGAGGCAAATGTGAGTGTGAAGAAAATCTTTTGATCTAATATTCAAGAGCTAGTGAAGAATGGAAATGTTACCTAGTATTTTCTTTACATTTTCACATGCCCCAGTTTTGGTCAAGGTATCTGCTTTTAACCAAAAGCACATTTTAAATGAGTTGTTTTTTCGATGCATTAACCTCTATTACAGGCCTTCAAGAGGCCAGTTAGAACCATTACATACACTCACCAAAGCGTAGCTTCCAGAAGTCCACTGATAAAAAGATGATAGAAACTTTCTGCAGTAATTGTGTTTACAGTTAACATTTTTTAAAGGTTGAACAGGCATCAGGACCATTTATAGGAACAAGAAGTGTATAATCTCTGTGAGATTTACAAGAAAGCCATAAAATAAGGAAGAAACTTCTTACAATAGGTTCATTAGGCAAGGGCCTAGGGTTCCTCTTGGACCTCCAACAGTACTTCAGTCAACAATTAATTTGGTTCAGAGTATGTAGGTCACTGTGACGTGTAAACAGAGGCTTTCTATTCAAACTGGGGTAATATAGAAACATTGTAAAGAGTTCATTTAGAGGTCCCAAATGCCAAAGAGTATGCCTATTGACAAAAAATGTAGGTAGCATTTTCTGGCATTTTGAACTATATAAATATGTCCTCTATAAATGTTGAAGCATTAACATGTAAACATCAATATTGATTCATTGGTATAAAAAATTTTAAAAATTGCTGAAAACAGAATAAAAATTTTTGACTAAAAACATTTAAAAAGTTGTTGATATATAATACTAGTATATATTTTGAGGGTATATTTGATATTTTGATACCTGTATACAATATGTAATTATCAAATCAAAGTATTGGGATACCCATCACCATAAATATTTTTCTTTGTGTTAGAAACATTCCAATTCTTCTAACTATTTTAAAATAGGCAATATATTATTGTTAACTACAGTCTCCTAACTGTACTATTGAATACTGGAACTGATTCCTTCCTTCTGATTGTATTTTTGTACCCATTAACCAACTTCTGTATATAGTTCACTTCCCCTTACCTCTATAAACATCTGGTAACCACCATTCTATTCTTTATCTCCATGGGATCCACTTTTTAAGTTACCACATGTAAGTGAAAACACACAGTATTTGTCTTTCTGTGCCTGGCTTATTTCACTTAACATATGACCTTCAGTTTCATCCATGTTGCTGTAAATGACAAGATATCATTTTTTATGGATGCATAATATTCCATTGTGTGTGTGTGTGTGTGTGTGTGTGTGTGTATAACACATTTTCTTTATCTATTCATTCATTGATAGATATTTAGGTTGATCCCATATCTTGGCTATTGTGAATAGTGTTACGCTAAATGTTGGAGGGCAGATCTCTTCAATATGCTGATTTCCTTTCTTTTGGGTATATACCCAGCAGTGGGATTGCTGGATCATGAGGTAGTTCTATTTTTAGTTTTGTAAGGAACTTCCATACTGCTTTCCATAGTGGCTGTACAAATTTACATTTCCACCAACAGTGTATGAGCACTTCCCTTTATCTGTATCCTCACCAGCATTTGCTATTTGTTGTCTTTTTTTGTAATAGCTATTCTAACAGTCTCTTGGATAAATGCCATTTTAACTGGAATTATAGGATATCTCATTGTAGTTTTGATTTGCATTTTCTTAATGATTACTGGTGTTGAGCATCTTTTCACATACCTGTTGGCTATTTGTATGTCTTCTTTTGAGAAATATCTAGGCAGGTCTTTTGCCCATTTTTAAATCAGATTATTTGGTTTGTTTTTGAGTTGTTGCCAGCTCATTTTGACAAAGGTGCCAAGAGCATACTTTGGGCAAAGGACAGTTTCTTTGATAAACGGTGCTGGGAAAACTGGAAATCTATATGCAGAGGAATGAGACTAGATCCCCATCTTTCATTATATAAAAAAGTCAACTCAAAATGAATTAAAGACTTAAATCTAAGACCTGAAACTATGAAACCACTAAAAGAAAACATTGGGGAAACACTACAGGATATTGGTCTGGGTAAAAAAAAATTATTTTTTTTTTTACTAAGACTTCAAAAAAAAAAAAATAGACAATTAGATTATATCGGGCTAAAAAGCTCCAGTATAACAAAGGAAACAAAGAAAGTGAAGAGAACCTACAAATTATCCATCCAACAAGGATTTAATAACCTGAATATATAAGGAACTCACACAAGTCGATAGGAAAACACATAATCATAGAATGTTACAGCTCAAGGGAAACTTGAAGATTATGGATCTGTTATGGCATTTTGCAATTGAGGAAATGAATCAGAAAAGAAAAATGAGCAAATGAAGTTTAAAAGCTTTATAAAAAACTCACAATTTGAACCCATGTCTTTTGCTACAAACCTAGAGCTCATTCCTCTCCATCACAATGCCTTTTCTGAAAACACACCAGCAGTCAGCATCCCCTAGAAGAGCAGCGCAACTCCTAAAGCCACATAAACTATCAAGGCATTCCATCAAATGAAATATCAAACAATGGGGAGAAGTGATTGAGCCAGCGCCTCGGCCTGGAAGCGGGCCGCAGACCCTTAGTTTCTCCCACCGCCTGACGACCATGGACCCCCGAAAAGTGAACGAGCTTCGGGCCTTTGTGAAGATGTGTAAGCAGGATCCAAGCGTTCTGCACACAGAAGAAATGCGCTTCCTGAGGGAATGGGTGGAGAGTATGGGGGGTAAAATACCACCTGCTACTCAGAAAGCTAAATCAGAAGAAAATACCAAGGAAGAAAAACCTGATAGTAAGAAGGTAGAGGAAGATTTAAAGGCAGACGAACCATCAAGTGAGGAAAGTGATCTAGAAATTGATAATGAAGGTGTGATTGAACCACACACTGACACCCCTCAAGAAATGGGAGATGAAAATGCAGAGATAACAGAGGAGATGATAGATCAGGCAAATGATAAGAAAGTGGCTGCTATTGAAGCCCTAAATGATGATGAATTGCAGAAAGCCATTGACTTATTCACAGTTGCCATCAAGCTGAATCCTCGCTTGGCCATTTTGTATGCCAAGAGGGCCAGTGTCTTCGTCAAATTACAGAAGCCAAATGCTGCCATCCGAGACTGTGACAGAGCCATTGAAATAAATCCTGATTCAGCTCAGCCTTACAAGTGGCGAGGGAAAGCACACAGACTTCTGGACCACTGGGAAGAAGCAGCCCATGATCTTGCCCTTGCCTGTAAACTGGATTATGATGAAGATGCGAGTGCAATGCTAAAAGAAGTTCAACCTAGGGCACAGAAAATTGCAGAACATCGGAGAAAGTATGAGCGAAAACGTGAAGAGCGAGAGATCAAAGAAAGAATAGAAAGAGTTAAGAAGGCTCGAGAAGAGCATGAGAGAGCCCAGAGGGAGGAAGAAGCCAGACGACAGTCAGGAGCTCAGTATGGCTCTTTTCCAGGTGGCTTTCCTGGGGGAATGCCTGGTGGTTTTCCTGGAGGAATGCCCGGAATGGGAGGGGGCATGCCTGGAATGGCCGGAATGCCTGGACTCAATGAAATTCTTAGTGATCCAGAGGTTCTTGCAGCCATGCAGGATCCAGAAGTTATGGTGGCCTTCCAGGATGTGGCTCAGAACCCAGCAAATATGTCAAAATACCAGAGCAACCCAAAGGTTATGAATCTTATCAGCAAATTGTCAGCCAAATTTGGAGGTCAAGCATAATGCCCTTCTGATAAATAAAGCCTTTGCTGAAGGAAAAGCAACCTAAATCACCTTATGGATGTCGCAATAATACAAACCAATGTACCTCTGACCCTCTCATCAAGAGAGCTGGGGTGCTTTGAAGATAATCCCTACTCCTCTCCCCCAAATGCAGCTGAAGCATTTTACAGTGGTTTGCCATTAGGGTATTCATTCAGATAATGTTTTCCTACTAGGAATTACAAACTTTAAACACTTTTTAACTTTAAAAATATTTAAAACAAATTTAAAGGGTCTGTTAATTCTTATGTTTTTCTTTACTACTCATTTTGGATTTTTTTTTCTTTGAATTATTGGGCAGGGAAGATACTGAATGTATAGAAGATTTTTGCTCTAATTTGAGTGAAATAAAAGTTTATTAGTGCGAGGCAAACATAACTCATTTGAGGATAAAGTTTGTGTTGGATATGTGGTTCCTAAAGCATTTTTACTTGTCTTCTTAAATGCTTTATCTTTTTCTCTAAAGATTTGTTTCAATAAAACTAATTGGGACCACCAGTATTTCAGTAGGACCTGGGTAGAGACTGGAAGTACTTGGCAGGGCAGCAGCAATCTTGCTGTGTTTTATATAACATGCATCCTTGGGCAGGTTGTCCTTAAATCTTACACTGTGGTGAAGGGATGATTTTTTTGTAATGCTGCAGCAGAGTACTTAGTTCTGTTCTTGTCTAGTATATCTAATAAATGTATCATATTATTTCCACATAGGAGAAAAAAAAAAAAAAAAGAGCCACATGAAGAAATATTACTCAGCCATTACAGTTATACTTACAAAAGGTTTGTAATAACCTGAAAAATGTTTTATTATGAAGAGAAAATGTACATTATGAAATAATATAAACATAAGTCTGAACTACATGAAACAGATGCATAAGAAGAAGACTGGAAGGAAGCAAATGAACCAAAAAGTAAATATAGTCTTCAGTCGGAGGCAAAGGAGTGAGATGTGGGTGATTTGTTTTTATATTTTTCTGTGTTTTCCAAAATTTTTATAATGCTCCTGTATTACCTTTTAAATGAAATCTATACACATACATTTTATTTTATTTATAAAAAAGGGTTAATTCTGCATTCAGATTGGGATAGGTTACCCATAGAAGTTCCCTAAGGCCAATCCCCACTGGGTCACAAAAATCTGCCTTATATTATCTAAGACATGTAAATTAGTAGAAATCTTCTCAGTGAGGTATATTCCTGTGGAGAAGTAGAAAAGACAATCTATTTTGGAGACAAAACCATTGAAGGAAATCGAAAGGGATGGGGAAGTCACAGATGATGTTTTTTGTTACACCTGATTCAAACATATTCATACGAACACTGAAAACACAGCAAGGAATCATAAAAGAACCGTTATAGCATCTCAAGTCAGCAAACAGAACCTATGAAAGTGCAAGAATCTATGTTTGTATATTTACCCCCTCGAAAGCTTAAGGCTGTACTTTACCCCAGGTTTTTACTATATTTCCTGGTGGATAGGTTCAAAGTTTTTGTTTTTTTAACTTATATAATTATGCTTTTTCTTTATTTTCCTTTTTTTTTTTCCTCAGAATGATAGCTTCAGAAGGGCAGGTACATTTGTGTCTTTCTAATTTGTATTTTGTTTAAAGAAATAACTTCAGACATACAGAATAGTTGCAAAAATAATACAGACAGTTGCCATTTACCCTTCACACAGCCTCCCCTAATGTAAATATCTTATACGATGATAAAACTTGTTTGTATTTTGATACAACTTATCAAAACTAGGAAATTACAATTGATACAGTGCTAGTAACTAAACTGCACAAACTATCCAAATGTTACTACTTTCTGCTCTCGTGACATTTTTTTTTTCCTGAGGATCCAATTCTGGATCCCACACTGCATTTAGCTGTCCTGTCACCTTGGTCTTCTCCAGTCTGAAATAGTTACTCAGTCTGTCCCTGATTTTCATAATATTGGTCAGTTATTTTTAGAATGTCTTTCAATTTGAGTGTATCTTATGTTTTCTCATGATTAGATCGAGGCTATGCATTTTTGACAAGAATATCACATAATAGTGTAACTTTCTCAGTACATCTCATCATGGATTTGGTTATGTTATCATTGGTGACATTAACCTTGATAAAGTATATGCTGGCTTTCTCCACTGTAGTTTTCACCTTGTAATTAATAAATACCTTGTGGCCGATACCTTGAGACTATGAAAATAATCAGTTTATCCTCACATCTTTACCCATATGGCTTAGTCAAGTTGGCATGTAAAATTAATCATCACAACAGGTGAGGAAACTGAGACTTCAAGAACTTGTTCAACATCACACTGCTGATAGGTCGCAGGGCCAACACTCAAATCGAGATCTGTTCTGTAATGTTCCACTCCTTTCCTGGACATCCCCCATTTAGAAAGTGAGAAGACTTAAGAAAGGCAAAAGCCTTGCTGAAGTCACAAAGTGGGCTGGGATGACACAATATCCAGGGTTTACTGACAGCTCACTTTCCACCACATTGCTTTGGAAGACTTTGGCTTAATCTCTCCTTATAGCTAGTCCTTTACCCACAGTCTCCCTAAGCATGTTTTCCAATGGAGAGCCAAGGGTCAGTACCAAATGAACCATTAGAAGAGGAGAGATTTGAACAAACAATTGAGTTTACTATCCGCTGATAACAAAAAATGACTAGGATTTTGTAGCTCTTCACAGGACCTAAAAATATCCTATGGTGAGGTATACTGGGATCACTATTAGCTCCTCTGTATTCAAATTTAACATTTTGATCAGTGGGTTTGATTAAGACCTAAAGATCATGTTTGTCAAGTCTGAGGAGGCTTTGTCAAGTCAGGAGGTTGGAGCACCAACCCCTGGCACAGTTGAATATCTGCACATATGCTTTGACTCCCCAGCACTTAACTACTAATAGCCTACTGTTGACCGGAAACCTTACTGACAGTTGAAACAATAAATTAACATACTTTGCATGTTATATGCATTGTATATTGCATTCTTATAATGTAAGTTAGAGAAAATTAAATATTATTAAAACTATCATAAGGAAGATAAAATATATTTACTATTCATTAAGTGGAAATGGATCATTATAAAGGTCTTTATCCTCATCATCTTCACATTGAGTAGTCTGAGGATGAAGAGGAAGAGGAGGGGTTGATCTTGCTGTCTCATTGGTAGCAGAGACAGAATAGGTGAAGGAAATAGAAGAGAAAGCAGGGGAGGTGGGCACACTCGATGTAATATGCTGAAAAAAATCCACGTATAAGTGGACTCGCACAGTTAAAATCCATGTTGTTCAAGGGTCAACTGGAATCCCCAATCCCTTCCTTTTCTACGTCTATGCAGTAGTGCTCTACCTGCTCACAGATCTTTTGCAAAAAACTATAGCTTGATCAACAAGTTTTCTATAGTACTCTAGGAATATTTAAACAATTGCTTTAAAAGACCTAAACAAATTCAAATAATTTAATATTTCTTTGATGCTTGAAAAATTCCTCCCAAAAAATGTTTTATCTAGAAAAATGTAGAAAATACAAATAAACATAAAAAATAAGTATTACCAGAAATCTTCCAATTTAAGGGCTGTGTGACCTTGAGCAGGTTACTCCACATTTTTGAAAATCTTTTTTTGTTCACTTACAAAATATCAACTCAGGTTCTTGAGATGTTGAAATGGAAAATGACTATTAAATTTGTAACAGTGCCTAGCTTAAAAGTAATTGGGTGTTTTTTTTTTTCATCAAAAGTAATGGCAAAAACTGCAATTACTTTTGTGCCATCCTAAGAGTTGTGGATTTGAATTTCCTTCTCTGCTTATTCCATGCTTGCTCTCACCATCCCCTGTTTTAGGGATAAGCAAGTATTTCTCATTTTTTAAACGATGTATGTTCAAAGCTATTTACCTATTTATTTTTAAACAAAGTATATTCTTTAGAACACTTTAGTTTCACAGCAAAATTGAGCAGAGAGTACAGAGATTTCCATACACCTTCTGTCTCCACATATACACAGCCTTCCCCATTGTCAGCATCCTCCACAGAGCAGTGCATTTGTTAAAACTGATGAACCTATATTGACACATCATTATCACTGAGGTTCCATAGTTTACATTAGGATTCACTTTTGACATTGTACATTCTATGGGTTTGGACAAATGTATGATTCCTCCTTAGTTAATCCTGGACAACCATTGGTCTTTTTACTGTCTCCATAGTTTTGCCTTTTCCAGAATGTCATACAGTTGGAATCATGCAATATGTAGCCTTTTCATATTGGCTTCTTTCACATGGTAATAGCATTTAACTTTCCTCCATATCTATTCATGGCTTGATAGCTTATTTCTTTTTAGCACTGAGTAATATTCCATTATCTGGGTATACTACAGTTTATTTATCCATTTACCTACTGAAGGACATCTTAGTTGCTTCTAAGTTCTGGCAATTATGAATAAAGACATTATCTGTGTGCAAGTTTTTGTGTGGACATGAGTTTTCAACTCCTTTGGGTAAATACCAAGAAGCACAATTGCTTGATCGTATGGTAAGAGTATGTTCAGTTATATTATCTCTCAATCAGTGGCTTGTCTTTATAAATATTATCTCTCAATCAGTGGCTTGTCTTGTCATTCTCTTGACAGTGTCTTTCACAGAGCATAATTTTTTTATTTTAATCCTTCCCAGCTCACCAATTTTTTTCTTTCATGCCTTTTGTGTCATATCTAAAAATATCACCATCAAACTCTAGGTCATCTAGACTTCTTTACTATGTTGGTTGTTTGTTTTAACAGATGGGCTCTTGCTATACTGCCTAGGCTGGCCTTGAGCTCCTTGGCTCAAGCAATCTTTATGCCTCAGCCTCCCAAGTAATTGGGACTACAAGCACGCATCACCATGCCTAGCTTACTGTAATGTTTCAGTGGTGATTTTCTATTTCTCTCATTCCTTCTACATTTATCAATTGGCATTCTTTTGTTAGATTGAACTAACCCCTCTCCTCACTTTTTGAATTACTTATATCAATATGGATTCATGGATGTTAATTTTATTCTGTAAATTATACTCCAATACCATCAGTATGTATTTTATTTCCAAATTGTTCCATTTTCGGCCATTGGTAGTGCTGTCATTTTGGAATCTGGTTTTCTGTCTTTCAACATTTTATTTTTTAATTTCCATAGGTTATTGGGGACAGGTGGTGTTTGGTTACTTGAGTAAATTCTTTAGTAGTGATTTGTGAGATTCTTGTGCCCTCATCACCCGAGCAGGATACACTGCACCCAACCGGTAGTCTTTCATCCCTCACCCTCTTCCCACTCTTTCCTCCTGAGTCCCCAAAGTCCATTGTGTCATTTATATGCTTTTGCATTCTCATAGCTTAGCTTCCACATATGAGTGAG